CCAGTAAGGTCCCGCTAGGCCGCGGCTGCGAGGTTCAACTCTTCGGCAGTAATTTTCTCAGAAAGGCACCGACAGGAGCCCACTTGTTGCCAAGTACAGAGATGCTGCTGTGCCAGCATTGTTTCATTTGTTTAATGCTAATTTTACCTTTATCGGTATTAAAGCTTGCTTTGCTTGATAAAATTGATAGCCAAATTGCAATTTTTTTCCAAAGAGTGTTTGACAAATCTACTATAATCATATTAGGTATACTTCCAAATAAAAGACACTGTTAAATAGCATAAGAAAGTTTTTCCAAAAACATTAAATACATGTTACATTTTTTCATATTTTTGTCTGTCTTTTTAGGGATAATAGACACAGATTAATTGCATGTTTAGACAAGAAACACATTGAGCGCTAGCAAATTAATTGCAATTTGAAAGTATTGAAAATAATGTTATATAGAATAGACATGTGCATTCGTTTTAGGATGAATAGGATTTCGTCCGAATTTTCGGACTTTTTCGTATTTGTTTACTATAACATAAACGAAAGTCCTACATACGAATTACAAAGGAAACAAAAGGGCAAATGCTGACTACATTACCTTTTTCATTTCAGTTTGTTTAGTTTTTTACAAGGAGGGATCTACCGGCTCGCGGCTCCCTCCTTGTAATATGTAAAAATAGAAGTGGCAGGGAGCAGTACTCCCCGCCACGTCCTAACTCCCCCCATGCCACCATGTCATTCTATGAAGGTCAATTTGACCCCCATATTAGCATAAGGGAGATTATTGTTTTAAAAAAAAAATAGGGGGGAGGGACCTAATGTCCCCACCCATGAGTGGCCCTAAGTAATTAAAGGGAGGGCCTAATAAATAAAGGGTGGGGACCTAATGTTCCCCCTGTTCTCCACCCATGAGCGGCGGGTGGGAGCGCTAAGTAATAAAAGGGGAGGACCTTCTGTCTCCCTCCCCAGTCCCCAACCATGAGTGAAGGGTGGGGGCACAGGTAACAAAAGGGGGGTGAACCTTTTGTCTCCCCCCTAGCCCCCACCAATGAGCGGCAGGTGAGGACCCTAATTAATTAATGGGGGGGATCTAATGTCCCACCTGACCCCCACCCATGAGCAGCGAGTGGGGAACCTAATTAGGTAAATTATGAAGGGGACCTAATGTCCCATCCAGGTCCCCACCCATAAGCGGCAGGTGGTGTCCAAAAATAATTAAGTGACTAGGGGTCCCCAAGCTTCTAGTCACTCCCCAATACCATACCTACCCCCCTCACCCTAATAATAGTGAGGGGCGGGGCAATAAACTAACACCCTGTAAAATAAAGTCTCATACATACCATTAGATGTTTTCTTTCTTCTTTTCTTTCTTCATCCCCAAAAAAGGCCAAAAAAAATCCATAATTGTCCGGTCGCAACTGTTAAAATAAAAAAGAACCGGAGTGCAAAAAAAAAGTTGTAAAAAAAAAAAAAAAACGGAAAAAAAAAAATCTATGTTCACTTAGGGTGGGCAGAATGAGCATTGCAGGGTGGGGGAAGTTTTCTATAGGCTACATTTACCTGTCACAGCCCTCTAAATGATTGGCTTGGAATCCAACCAATCAGAGTGCTCGGAGTCATTTTAAACAGCGTGGGAAAATTCCAAAGAACTTTCCCATGCTGTGTAAAATGACTCAGAGCACTTTGTTTGGTTGGATTCCAAGCCAACCAATCAGAGTGCTGTGACAGGTAAATGTAGAGACTTACCTGAGTGCTCTGAGTCAAATTGCTGGGCTTGGGAAGGCTTTATAAGCCTTTTCCCGCCCTGCGGAGCTCAGTCTGTGCGATGTCCTCGCTGGGTGAAGATGGATTTATTTTTTGGGCATCAGGTTTTTCTTTTTTCGGCATGTTTTTTTTTGTGCTCTGTTTTTTTTGTTTGTTTTTTTAATTTCAATGGGTATTATGGCTTTTTATTCAGCCTTTTTTTGGGACTGAAAAAGGAAGATTTAAGAAAAAAGAAGACATCTAATAGTAAGTATACATTTTTTTATTTACAGGTATTTAATTTTTTGTTCCCCCCTCACCATTTTTAAGTTGCGGGGGTCGGTAGGGTTTAATTTTATTGGTGGAGGGGTGTGACTAGGGGTTTGGGGACCCACTTTTGGGGAGTATTTTTTATATATTGCCCGCACCCACCACTCATTGGTGGGGCCCAGGGGAGGGGAGACAATAGTTCCCCCCTCCTTTTGCTACTTAGGGCCCTCATTTGCCGCTCATGGGTGGGGGCAGGGGGGAACAATAGGCCCCCCTTTTTGTAATTTAGGGCCCTCACCCACCTCTCATGGGTGGGGGGCAGGGGAGACAATAGGTCCCCCCCTTATTGTAATTTAGGGCCCCCACCTGCTGCTCATGGGTGGGGACCATAGGGAGGAGGACAATAGGTCCCCCCATTGTCTGTTAGGGTCACCACCCGCCACCCATGGGTGAGGACCTGGGATGGACAATAGGTCCCCCCTATTATTTATTTAATTAAGGTCCCCATTCGCCAGTCATGGGTGGGGACCGGGGGGTACATTAGTAATTGTTAAAATTATTACAAGGAGGGAGATGGTAGTGCTGCCAGCTCCCTCCTTGCTTTTTTTCTTTGTGCACATTCGCAGTGTTATTTTCATCCTAATGGACGAAAACAAATTATTTTTACCGAATTTCGTCCGAAAAACAAATATTTTACGGATGAATTCAGACTGGACAATTGAAATTTTTATTTAGTACGAATTCATTCATCCGAAACAAAAATTTCACTGGTGCACATGTCTAATATAGAAGATACATAATGGCACAGAGTACAGTATGAAAATGATATTGAGAGGTTATGGAGACATGATAAACTATGATGACCAAATGTTGAATGGTTTATGGATACCTCTAGAACTCCACAATCACATTTTTTATACCTTGTCTCTTTTCTTGTCCTTCAGTTGCTGCCATGCCATGTAATATATGTGCAAACACAGACACCTACACACACACAGACACACATGCACGTACACCCACCTCCAGTTTTTCCTTCCAGTGGGACTGATATTACCACGCCTGACACTGTACTCACATTTGTTTTAGGAGATATTCAAATATTTGTGTGGAAAACTGAAGTTATATAATTATTCTACTTTATTGTTTAATGAGTTTCATGTTGTGTTTTCCACCTTGTAGCCTGGCAAACAACAAACTTGGACCAGCAGGTGTTAATGAACTCTGGGAAGCACTTAAAGTAAATGAGTCTGTAGAGACCTTAAACTTGTGTATGAATGATTTATATGATGAAGGAACAGAAAACATGTATTCCAGTTTATGCATGAACAAAACATTGAAAAAACTTATGTGAGTATTTTTCTGTTATCTGGGAGGGATTATAATGCTACACTGCTATGATTTTAAAGAGTGGTTTCTTAGTGCTTTCCTAGTGTTTACTTCAGGGCCGCCATCAGAAAATTTGGGGCCCATGACAAAGCACAAGGTCTGGGCCCCCCCCCCCCTCCTCGCGGGCCCGCCCACGCCCTACCTAGTCCGCTCACAATGATGCAGGACTGAATGTGGTGTGTGTATAGTGGAAGTGAATTAGAATGTGTGTAATGGATGTAGTGTTTGTATGTATTAGATACTGTTTGTGCAATGAATGCAGAGTGTGTGTTTGTGTAGCGGATGCAGTGTGTATAGTGAACGCAGAGTGTTTTTGAGTAGTGGATGTAGTGTGTGAACAGTGATGTAGTGTGTGTTTGTGTAGTGGATGTAGTGTTTGTATGTACTAGATGAAATGTGTTTAGTGGATGCAGTGTCTGTAGTGTGTGTATCAGACGCAGTGTCTGTGTATAGTGAATGCAGAGTGTTTCAATTTGTGGTGGATGTAGTGTGTGTACTGTGAATAAAGGATGTTTGTGTAGTGGATGCTGTGTGTACAGTTAATGCAGAGTGTATGTTAGTGTAGTGAATGCAGAGTGTGTGTCAGTATAGTGAATCCAGAGTGTGTGCATAGTTTAGTGAATGCAGAGGGTATGTTAGTGTGTAGTGAATGCAGAGTGCGTCAGTGTAATGAATGTAGTGTGTGTGTTAGTGCAGTGAATGCATAGTGTGTGTAAATTTGTAGTGAATGCAGAGAGTGTGTTAGTATGTAGCGGATGCAGCATGTGTGTTAGTGTAGTGAATGCAGTGTTAATGTGTAGTGAATGCAGAGAGTGTGTTAGTGTGTAGCGGATGCAGAGTGTGTGTTAGTGTAGCGGATGCAGAGTGTGTGTTGTGTTAGTGTATGCAGTGTGTGTTGTGTTAGGGTATGCAGTGTGTGTGTATTGTGTTAGTGTATGCAGTGTGTGTGCGTGTTAGTGTATGCAGTGTGTGCGCGTGTTAGTGTATGCGGTGTGTGTTGTGTTAGTGTATGCAGTGTGTGTTGTGTTGTGTTAGTGTATGCAGTGTGTGT